CTACCCACTGCTCCATGATCCAGGTCCATCACTGCACCACTACCCACTGCTCCATGATCCAGGTCCACCACTGCACCACTACCCACTGCTCAAGGATCCAGGTCTGTCACTGTACCACGGCCCAGGTCCACCACTGCACCACTACCCACTGCTCCATGATCCAGGTCTGCCACTGTACTACTGCCCAGGTCCATCACTGCACCACTACCCACTGCTCCATGATCCAGGTCCACCACTGCACCACTACCCACTGCTCCATGATCCAGGTCCACCACTGCACCACTACCCACTGCTCCATGATCCAGGTCCATCACTGCACCACTACCCACTGCTCCATGATCCAGGTCCATCACTGCACCACTACCCACTGCTCCATGATCCAGGTCCACCACTGCACCACTACCCACTGCTCAAGGATCCAGGTCTGTCACTGTACCACTGCCCAGGTCCACCACTGCACCACTACCCACTGCTCCATGATCCAGGTCCATCACTGCACCACTACCCACTGCTCCATGATCCAGGTCCACCACTGCACCACTACCCACTGCTCAAGGATCCAGGTCTGCCACTGTACCACTGCCCAGGTCCACCACTGCACCATTACCCACTGCTCCATGATCCAGGTCTGCCACTGTACCACTGCCCAGGTCCATCACTGCACCACTACCCACTGCTCCATGATCCAGGTCCACCACTGCACCACTACCCACTGCTCCATGATCCAGGTCCATCACTGCACCACTACCCACTGCTCCATGATCCAGGTCCATCACTGCACCACTACCCACTGCTCCATGATCCAGGTCCACCACTGCACCACTACCCACTGCTCAAGGATCCAGGTCTGTCACTGTACCACTGCCCAGGTCCATCACTGCACCACTACCCACTGCTCCATGATCCAGGTCCACCACTGCACCACTACCCACTGCTCCATGATCCAGGTCCACCACTGCACCACTACCCACTGCTCCATGATCCAGGTCCATCACTGCACCACTACCCACTGCTCCATGATCCAGGTCCATCACTGCACCACTACCCACTGCTCCATGATCCAGGTCCACCACTGCACCACTACCCACTGCTCAAGGATCCAGGTCTGTCACTGTACCACGGCCCAGGTCCACCACTGCACCACTACCCACTGCTCCATGATCCAGGTCTGCCACTGTACTACTGCCCAGGTCCATCACTGCACCACTACCCACTGCTCCATGATCCAGGTCCACCACTGCACCACTACCCACTGCTCCATGATCCAGGTCCACCACTGCACCACTACCCACTGCTCCATGATCCAGGTCCATCACTGCACCACTACCCACTGCTCCATGATCCAGGTCCATCACTGCACCACTACCCACTGCTCCATGATCCAGGTCCACCACTGCACCACTACCCACTGCTCAAGGATCCAGGTCTGTCACTGTACCACTGCCCAGGTCCACCACTGCACCACTACCCACTGCTCCATGATCCAGGTCCATCACTGCACCACTACCCACTGCTCCATGATACAGGTCCACCACTGCACCACTACCCACTGCTCCATGATCCAGGTCCACCACTGCACCACTACCCACTGCTCAAGGATCCAGGTCTGTCACTGTACCACTGCCCAGGTCCACCACTGCACCACTACCCACTGCTCAATGATCCAGGTCTGCCACTGTACCACTGCCCAGGTCTGCCACTGCACCACTACCCACTGCTCCATGATCCAGGTCTGCCACTGTACCACTGCCCAGGTCTGCCACTGCACCACTACCCACTGCTCAATGATCCAGGTCTGCCACTGTATTACTGCCCAGGTCCACCACTGCACCACTACCCTCTGCTCAATGATCCAGGCCCTCGTCCTCTTCAAGGGCCTGGCCCTCCATTCCTCCTCTGAACCTCCTCGATCCACCACCCTCCTGAATTTTGTGCTTTGGGTGAGCGTTAAGGTCATGCCTATGACATCATTTTCCGTCATGGAAATTTTACCGCAATTTAGAATTTTCCCAAAAACCTAGTTTTTCGAATTCCTCCTAGGCCATTGCTCCAACTTTTACGAAAAAGGAACCAGATCATCTTCAGACCATGCAGTCAAAAAGTTATGGAATTCAAGTTGATTTGTCAAAATGTTCTCTAATAACGCATGAAAGAATTAATTTAAGAGCAGGCCAAAATGGACGTGAGGCTATATCCCCGCAACACTTCAGCGTATTCTGAACAAACTTCCTGTGTGTTATGACAGCCATGACATGGTGTTACCTTCACAGTTTCGGCACAGTGCCACCTAGTGGTCAGGAGATATCAGAAATGGCTCTTTTTGCTTAACTTCTGAACTGTTTGGCCAAAAATCACAAAAATTTTGAGTATTTTACGAACGCATTGGCGTATCATTAAGAAACTTGGTCTGTGTCTTCAGCATAAAAACATACTATTTAGAAACTCGTCCTAGTTTGTTTGTCCGATTTTCACCAAAATTTGATCATTTCATCTTCACTCCATGCCGGCAAAAAATTATGGATTTCGTGTCGATAGACAACACCGTTTTCATATAGCCTGCCCTACTGCATATCCCGTTTTCATATCCCGCAGCAACAAATTTGATGGCATGATGCCAAAACCACTGAGGCTGTATCTCTGCAAAGCTTTGGCATATTGACACCAAACTTTGTATGTGTCATTGTCAGCTTACTCTGACCACACCACATCAATTTGGTCACAGCGCCACCTGTTGGTAAAAAGTGATAATCCATTAAATCATATTATTAGTGACTGTATTTATGATTTTTCAGCAATTTTGCCTAAAATCCTCTTAATAGCATATGTCTTTAATTGCTCATTGTTGCCATTATTCTGATGCTCCCAGCCAAGTTGGCATGACTTATTGTGCCTTCTTTGTGCTTGGCCCCTTAATATACTTAAAGAAAAATCTTATTGATCCCAAACTTTTGGACAAAATCACAAGTAAATATGGACTTGAGACCATTAGAATACACTTACTGTCAGCCAAAGCAGTCTGCTTGTGAGTAGAACATATTTGTTAGTCTTGCCGATGACGTATGTTTGCTGAGAGTGACCTTTGACCCTTGTAGATTGCAGTGACAAACGCAACAATGAAACCAGGCCCCGTTCCAGGCTAAATCCATCCACATACAAGAACTGAGACAGCAAGTATTTTAATGGGGAACAAGATACCCTTACTTGGTAAATGAACGTCTTGAGCAATTAAAGATTCCAAGTAATAATGGTGTGCAGACGAAGGAATGCGAGGCAGGTCACGGGTAGCACATGCATCACCCGAATTACAGCTGCAGAGGCCCGACAGAGCACGCAAGGACATCCTCAGGGCAAAGGAAGAACGCTCTCCTCAGAGAAACACATGGGAGAGGCTCACACCGCTCAGATGTTGGAAGCTAGTATCAATATAAAGCAAAGTACATTCACCACTTTGATTTTAAAACAGGCTGAATAGACTGAGCACGCTGCTATGACATTTGGTTTCTAGATTGGTTTAGCTGAGCCCCTCTAGAAACAACCAGAGGCCCTAATGGTATGAAATGCTCCTGCCCTTTTGATAAATGTCAGCCGCTCTATCCACTTTTAAAGTGGTCTTCAGGAAGTGACCTGGTCTCCTAACAGATAATAATATCCATATTCACTGGCACGTTTAAGCTGCAGAAAGTTTAAAACTGTTGTAAGTGACTCTAGTGTAGAGTGTCTTCATATTATACTGTATTATTGTAATGTTGTATGAGATATTTATTGTGAGTGTTAAGTATTTAAGTATTTTATTAAGTATTTTAAGTGAAATTTATAAGTATTTTAAGTATTTGATTAAGTATACTTATTTTTTCGAAGTATTCTATTTATTGTACGCAATAATACACTTTAATTATGTATTAATGCTTGGCTAACAGAACTTCATCAGGAGCCTATGATATCCTCTATAATAGTGTCGCCATACACAACATTTTCTGTCACTTTTCATTTGCTCAAAAATTGACAATAAATTGTACTTAAGGCCAGTCTTTAATGTAACCAATAATATGCTGTCTTTAAGCCAGATGACATTTCATTTTCTCTCTAAGGACTCTATATTTCCTGCGCAAGACACTTGCTGCTGTGCTATTCAAATTGAGCAATTATACACATTTCTTCAACATCTGGATTTTTTTGCTGCATCTTTGAAAAGTAAATAGATGATGTTCATAGATCTACTTTTTACAGAAAAGTATGTACATTGCCATATGGACACTCTGTACCAACAGGGAAAATAACCATGTTACCATATGGCAATCTGTAGTGGAACAACTGTAATTGCATTTCCTCACTGGGAATTGTTCTAAATAGTGGACGTGTTTACAATAATATAATTGTATTTATGCAGTAGTAGCACAATAATGATATATGTTTCATGTGTTCAGAAGAAATGAACAGCTTGACTCTATCAATAAGAATGAGGTTGGATTTTTAAGAACAATATTGAAAAATAAATGATTTAGCTTGAGTTCTGTATAGTTTCAAAAATGAAATATTAATTACAGAATGCATACATTTTAAGACTTTTTGTTCATATTTCAATCATTTTATTATTGTCACTAGAGCAATTCAATGTAAAAAAAATCTATTGGGAAATAACAATCCTTAGAACATAATGCATCCCATAGAGAGCGAAAATATGTAAAATTGTCTATTGACTATTTCTACATAGGGTGAATCGGAGCAATCTGTGAATTTTTTTGCACTACCAACGTTTGTGATTTACTGTGATTCTCACTCTACAACACTTCATTACATGACTAATCAGCTAGAATACAGTTATTTTATCATATAAATAGAGCTTGTGAAGTTTATAAGTCCCACATTACCCAGATAACTGTATTTCACAGTACTGTTTTTTCTTTTCGAGTGCGATCATCTGTCCCTGATAAAATGTTTGCGAAAAACTGTGTTCTCAGCATGATGTTCCCCCAAAAAATGCTTTCAAAGCTCTGTGTCTAAGAGTGAATTAGCTAACCACACTGATATTACAACAGTTATCAATCTACTTAGTAGTAATCAAATTCAGGGAGGACTTAAATTAGTCCTAAACAGGGCAAACACACTTCTGTTTACATCTGCGCTTCATCATTTGTAACTCCTTTATTTTGCATCCTGGAAAGAAAAGCATGGCAGAGACTAATTTGCAGGCAGTCTTAACGGGACAGTGACGGATACGAAACCTCTGTGGCTAAGGAACAAAACCATGTTAGCACAGCAACCTCTTACACACAAACACAGCGAATCAATCAGGCCAGTCCAATGGTGAGTTTTTCTTTTCTGAGTAAAAGAATATGTCTATGTTATATGCTAATACATCCAAGGGTGAGTGTATGTGCAGTGCTGAAGTTTTAAATCAGGTGTCTGTCTATACGGCTCTTTCCTCTGTTTGCTGCTCGGAGGCAGAGGAGCCTGTGTTGGCACGTATTGAACGGTTTGATTCAGGCAGAGGTCTCCTGGGCCCCGGTCTGATCCATTACCCGCTCTTCTAGCGCGCAGCAGAGGACAGGCGCTCGGAGTGAACTGATGCCTTGTAACACGCTCCTGCCTGGTTTCCTTAACAACAAATCACCCTCAGGGCTCTGCGAGTCTTTCAGTTCCTTTACCATAACTTCAAGGGTCTGAAACAGAGAGGCTTTCAAGAGAAAGAAATACATTAGCAAAATAGAAACACACAACCGAGTTTCTGGTTCATCCTTATGTGATGTCTGTTTTATAATACAACAATGTATTACTAACCCACGCCATATTTGGACACTTTCTGGCTGTCAAATGCTATAGTTTACAGTTAGAGGAATGTTACCTGCTGTGTGACCTTGACTTCATACATCCACCTGGAGAGGAGATGGTTAAAGATCACTGCAAAAATGTAGGAAAAGTTTTTTTGTTTTAGCTATTGTTGTTAATATATCTATATAATAATCCATTTTTAGATTTAAATTTGTATATATATATATATATATATATATATATATATATATATATATATATATATGGTAACACTTTACAATAAGGTTCATTTATTAAACATTAGTTAATGTATTAACTAACATGAACTAACCATGAGCAATACATTTGTTACTGTATTTGTTAATCTTTGTTAACGTTAGTAAATACAAATCCAGCTGTTCATTGTTTGTTCATGTTAGTTCACAGTGCATTAACTAATGTTAACAAGATTCGAATAAAGTATTAGTAAATGTTGAAATTAACATTAACAAAGATTAACAAATGCTGAAGAAGTAGTTCATTCTTAGTTAATGTTAACTAACTAATGAACCTTATTGTAAAGTGTTACAATATATACTGTATGTATATTGTTACAAATACAAAAGTACACTGCAAGCAAGTCAGCATATTAGAATGATTTCTGAATGATTGTGTGACTGAAGACTGAAAAAAAATCAGCTTTGCCATCACAGAAATACATTTTTAAAAAGTTTTCAAATATATTAAAAAGATTTATTTTTAATTGAAAGAATATTTCACAATATTTTTGTTTTTACTGTATTTTTTGTTCAAATAATTGCAGCCTTGTGTAACATAAGAGACATATTTTAAAAAGATTTAAAACATCTTTTTAACCTCAACATTTTATGTACATTAACGATGAACATAAATTAACAAAAAAACAGCAGTGTATGTATTAATAATAAAACTAAAATGTGTATTTCTAAATGTCCAAAAGTGATCAAATAGTTTGTAAAGTATATTTCCCTCAAAATAACACAGTGATGTTGAATTATTAGGCAATAAGTAATAATTCATGAGATGGTGCTTTTTTAATACATGCATTCGTAAAACATATTGTTTTATTAATGCTTTGCCAGCGGCCATGTATCGTCCGGTCGGGTCTCGTCCTCATTGTTCATTCACAAACATGCCTCGGCTCTGAATGACATTGAGTTTAGTTAGACATAATGATCACACAACTTGGCTTTTCTCTAAATAAGGACTGTGGAGTTGTATTAGCTGTTGCCCGCCATTGGTGAAAGGTATGTTATGAATGACAATGTTAATGTTTAAACATTTTCAGGATTTCAAAAAAGAACTGTGAATAAGTTTAAAGAATTACTAAATTATGAATTACTAAAATGAAACTGGAATGAAAAGCATCATTAAAGAGAGCACATGGGTGTTCTAAGCATCCAAAAAAGCGCACGGGGCGCCCTTCCCAAACACACGTTTCCACAGCAACAGTGTGTCATGTGGCGGTATTAGAATGAAGTAGTCAGAACTCCTCCTTGCAGTCTGTTCAGGTTTGGAGCCCTTAAACAGCACTCAGCCTTTGGGGGACCAGTGGGAAAAGATTCAAGGAGGGTCTTCACAGCTCAACCTGTTACATCACATATCTTTGGCAAGGTCTCAGGTGAACATCTGCTTTTACTAGTAAGCTCAGAAAGGCTCTGGTTGTTACAGGACACACACTCAGTATCTCACACATTCAGTTCTCTCCTTGGCAACGGGTTAATAATAATATTGCTGCCACAATTTTCTCATCTGTTTTCTATTACTGCACACTGATTGATGTCTGAACATAAATTAAGGTATTTCTAACAGTTTTATGTGCATGTTTTATTTCAAATTCTAGATAGAGATCACAATTTATCATGTCATCATCAGCAAGCCAATGCGTTAAAGCAGACAGGAAGCGATGCAAAAATCTTTCAGCGTGATGCACAACTACAACGTGTAGCATTAAGGTAGAATCATTTGAGTTTTAAGTGTAAATTCAGTGATGAACTTAAAGGGATAAGTTCACCCAAAAATGAACATTTTGTAAATGATCATCATTTATTACACACCCTAATGTCATTCCAAACCTGTAAGACCTTCTTTCTTCTGTGAAAAAAACAACAAAGAGTGTCGGGAACAGTTGTGGGGTCCCATTGACTTCGATATTAGGAAAAAAAATATTATGGAAGTCAATGGGGCCCATTAACTGTTCGGTTCCCGACATTCTTCAAAATATCTTATTTTGTGTTTAGCAGAAGTAAGAAATTCAAACGAGTTTGGAACAACTTGAGGGTGACTAAATGATGACAGAATTTTCATTTTTGGGTGAACTGTCCCTTTAAGTTTTTTTTTTTTAATCTTCCATACAATGAAAGTAAATGGTGTTTGATGTTGTATGATCTGGACTTGCCTGTTGTACTGATGAGAGTAAAGTTTATGTCCATCCAGAAAATAAAAATACACTAACAGCCTAATCCAAACCTGTTTTTATAGAACTAAAACAAGTTACTAGCTGATAAATAACAACAACCTTCCTAAAAATGACTTCTAGGGAGTTTAAACCCTTGTTTTAGTTTGATAGTTTGTTGCCCATAGATGGAGTTTTAAAAGGCAAAAAAAAAAATACAAATATGCCGTGTCAAAAATGATTTTTATAGTATGCTACTTGGACAATATCCCTTTATCTGACAGATAGGCTATCACTGAATTAGGTGTCCTGAAATATCTTGAAATAAATAAATTGCAAAAACAAATGTGACAGGCTGCGGTCAGATTCTTTGTTTAGCCAGTGAGAAGACTTTGATGAATTTTCTTTCTGTCAGTCATTTTGGATCCACACCTGGCAGAACAGGAAAGTGGTTGTTGAAACGGTTCATTCAAGTTAGTGCCATATTTCAGCTTCATAAGCAGTTGTCAGTTTGTCATGCAAGAACGCTATTGTTGCTTTTGTCAACTTTGACAACACTCAGATGAGGTGCTGATTTCCACCAGTTTAACAAATTCTGTTAATTAATTTAGTATAATTCCAATTAAATAATATTGTAATTAATGTAATAAATATAAAATATTAATATACAATTCAATATTTGCTATTTAAAGTAGTCTATAATTGTATTCCTTAAAACTCATCTTTGATCACCAAAATTACATATTTACGCGGTTTTCCTTGAAAAAGAATTTCTTGCCTTAAAATAGATTGAATGTAACGATACACCTTTGCCTCATTTAGTAGGCTATACACGGTTCTATGAATATGCAAATTAGCCCCCCCTCCACTCACTTCCGCCAGGGGCACCTTCAAGCTCAAACCGGTGCGCAACGTTTTGCTGCGGTTTCCGGGTTGAACGACATGTTTCCTGGAAACGGTGTGCAACGGGGTTTGAGATACTTTGTCCCTGTCCCAAATGGCGCACTTCATGCGGACTTTCGGTCTCGTGGACTTAAATTGCGCGTGCTCGCCGAGTCTACAAGTCCGTAGGCCGTCCCATTTAGCATTTTAACGCTCTGAAGTGTGCTCAGCAGCGCCCCCTTTGTACCCTTGAAGCGGTCTTCCGCGAAGACTGCATAGATGCAGGCTCCACGCACTTTTAACTACCCAGGAATCCTTGCGAAAGGCCAATCAGACAACGGATGGGAGGAGATTTCGCTCACGGACAATTGTTAACATGGCTGAGAAGAAAATATTTAAGTGTAATTATCATTACGGTTTTTATGACAAGTTTATACAAACATTATGATCATCGACCAGTGGTTAATGTCTCAAACATAGGCTAATACATAGCTGAATAATACGATCGCATTATGATTCATTAAATAAATAGAACAGAATGTCAGGGCTTTACTGCGTCATATGTAAACACAACAACAATAGGCAGCATATTTCCCCGAACCTGTAGCTCCTGTCCATAACAACAATCAGACCGTCTTCCTGTTTCCGGCGTGACGATCGAGTCTGTCCCAAAAATACCTCTCAATGTGCCCTCGCGGACTCACGCTAAGGGCCCTATAGGTCTCCACTACATGACGTCACCGAAGTGTGGACTGAGGAAGTCCACAAGTCCGGAGTGTGCCATTTGGGACAGGGCCGGTTTCTCTTGTTTGGTGGATATGTCAAAAATGTCAGCCCAATCAGCAGCAACATGTATATAAACCATGCGGTATTAAAGAGACAGCTCTCACAATGGGTCCAAGTAAAGTCGTTTACAAATGTGTCCGCTGCAGCTCGGTATACGCAACAATTGAAGACATTAGAAGACATGTTTGTCTTTTCATCCTGAAATGCGAGGCAAATGTTGGATCACAATAATTAGGAACCACAGATTCCACAAATCCCTTCACTCGATTGTGATGTTCTCTTTTATTCTGGACGGCAAGGGCAGTGACTGTAACATCGAGCGTATTTTGCAGTATTAAACACGTATTTATACCGATTTCATCAGGCTCCGAAAAATTGTTCAAAAAGAACACAAAGAATGGCCTTCTCAGCTGCCATAGTTGCAACTCTTGCGTCATCAATTCACCACCGTTTCCGTTTCAAAAACGTTTTGCAACTTTTTGTCGGGGCTGAACGCAGCCGAGCTCAGAGATCCACTTGTTGACGATCACACCTTGACGTGATTGGTTACAAGGTAGTTTGTGACGTCAGAAACACCAGCGATTTCAAACCGCGTTTTTGAGACTGTCTTTGGTTCACTTCAGTTTTAAGGAGAAAATACTCAGCAATGGTGTTGACTTATGCATTTGTACATGGTTAGTCTTAAAGCACATTAAAAACACCATACAGACATATTAAGCTTGATTTTCACCACAGTGGGACTTTAAATGTTGCTTGCTGAATATTTTCTTTTTTTGTTTGCCCACACAACATCTGCCAGCAGGGGCTTATGAGGTCATGGTGCC